TCAGTAATGCTGTATCATCAATTCATTTAATAAAAATAATTCTCGTTTACCTTAATTTACATTTCTCAATTAATATAAATCACTAAAACAAGCAATACATGCATCAAGGGAAACACAATCGAATTATCATACTAATTTCCAGTGTATTATCATGCATTCGAAACTGTAAAACAAATCAATCAGTTAAATATGACAAACAGTAATAAATAACCGGTTTCGCCTTCATTAGTAACATTTAATTATCGATGTTTCTAACTTACGCAAAATACTATATTATTTATAATTAAACTTAAATTTCATAACAGAGAATAAGGTAACGGATTCTTACCCGAATTGGTGTACGAACGCTAAACTTTTGACTGTGCCTACTAGCGGTATCCGGATTCCTTGAGTTTTTCTTCGAGAATTAAAACATGCTCCAAGTACCTAAAAATACCCCCTAAAATCCGAAATCGGTATTAGAAACCCTTTTCGGCTAATTTTGAGATTCTGGCATGGCGATGATTTGTCTCAAGCTGACCGTTTTCAGCCAGTTTCGGCCGGTTTTGTACTCCTCTCTGCGAAAAACACATTAAGAGGCCTTGGTTGGTCGAAAAAAGTCAAAAAACATAGGCTTACAGGCGGCGGAGTTTTCGATGCGGCGGCTCCGTCAACTCATATTCGCGGTTGGGTGTTTTGCTTCAGTCAACTTGTAGAAAAATGAATGGTAATTATAATGATATAAAATTGCACAGAACAGGAATAAAAAATTGTCTCATCGGAGGCGGTTTTTGTTTTTTCCAACTGTAGTACCACCGAATTTTATCCGCGATTTTCAACTCATCCACTGGTCCTTTTACTCCGATTTGGCCATCGGGGTGTTCAAAATCAAATTTTGAGTAAATGAGAAAATTTTTACCTCTTTTGACAATCGAAAGTGGCTCCAGCGCGATGGCGGGTGGCGGTCGGCTCCTTTCCCAACGACTGGCTCTTCTTCTCCGGTGGGGGGGTCTGGCGGCTAAGGTTAGGGTTTGGTGTGAAGTGGGGTATTTATATCCGTCTCTTTTTAATCTAGGTCGTCCGATCACGTTTAAATAAGAAATGAATATGGACCGTTCATTACGATTTGATTTAGACCGTCAGATCGTGTTTAAATAAGAAGTAGATCTGGACTGTTCATCGCGATTTGATATAAACTGTACGATCGCGTTTACAAGAGGAACAGATCCAAACCGTCCATATACGCGAGAACAAATTCGGACCGTCCGATCGCAATCACGTGGATTGCCAGCGTGGCCTTCCATGTGGCACCATGCCAGCATGACTTGCCACACAGGGTGCTCCGATTCGTCGAAGCTGCTGACTGGCATCCTATGTGTCATATTTTTTTCAAATTACGTTTTAACTCTTAGTTTCTAATTTTTTTTTTCAAAAATACTCCAATAACCCAAATTTTCACATATTTCAAAATTATTTTCAATTTCATCCTTCACATATTTTTATTTATTTTTACATTAAATAAAAATTTAAAAATTCAAAAATTATATTTATACAATAATTTTAAATATATTAAAATTAATTAAGGGTATTAGAAGTTAAGAATCCAACCTAATTTTATCATTCATTTAAAAATTATTTTTAAAAAATAGAAGATAAAAACAAGTATAATTTGAAGTCACAACTTTTTACAATAAAATTTCACTTATCATTTTTATATATGTATATATGAGATAATATCATTTTTATAAAGGGATAAGATAACATCATCTTTTATCTTACACCCACCCTTACTATATATACATATATATATATATATTATTATATATATATCATTAAATCAATATATAATTATAATAAATTATAGTAAATATAAAACACGAGATTTTAACGTAATTTAACAATTTACTTATATTCACGAGTAAAATTGATAAGAACGTTACTAATAGGTTAATAAACTTATATATATAGAGAGACTAATTAAATTTTTTTAAATATAAATTCTTTAAAATATATATTAAATGTAAATATTTAATATGATAAACATAAACTATCCTCAAAATATAAATAAGTATATCAAAATTCAAGCCACATAAACATATATATATATTTATATATATATATATTTATATATATATATGTATACATATTATACGGACACTCACATGGAAAAAATAAAGAGAGGGAGAGAGATTGATCATGCAAATGCATAAGAAAATTAAATAGCTGGTTTTGAATAATAAATATTTGAAAGTTAATTGACGTAATGTCTTCCTTTATTTGACATTTAATATATATATATATATATATACACACTTGTATTTCAAAAATATTTTTTAATTAAATAAATAAAATAAAAAATTAAAATCAATTTTTTAATATAATTTTATTTTAATAAAAATTTACAAAACTTATTTTAATTAAATATATAATTTTTAGGCCTTACATAGGTCGGTCCATCAACGGGGCCCACGTTCTTATCCAAATCGACACAACAAATATATGGACCTAGTGGTCGCTTAAACCGGAAAACCATGTATTAATTCTAAACTATTATATTGAAAATATATATATATATATAACTTATTTTATCACATTAATTTTATTTTAATGTATTTAAAAAATATTTTCGTATTGTAAAAAATAAATAAATAAATTTTATATTTATTATATTATTAAATATAAAATTATTTGAAAGAAATAAGGAATTTGACATCCTAATATTATATGTGCATGTATATTCATTGATGAGTATATTGAATAAAAATAATAAAATGTAGGGGACAAATATAATAAATTCTAATTCTATGTTAATTTAATGTCGAAACATCTCCAATTCGTATTTAATTTTTAGATCTAAGTAATTGTTTGATATGAAATTAAATAAATTATTGTTTCTAATTTAATTTCTATTTATATTTGTATTAACTTTTAGTGTTTTTGT